CACAAAGAAGCCCTATGAATGCACAAGCAGCTGGTGATGAGGCCAGCACTGTTTGGATACATTAAACTGTCTCTAACATCCTGTAGCTTAAGTTTCAACTGCTCTGCCCCGATGCAGCTCCCTGCCAACGAGTGTAGGAAGGCAGTGGAGATGGCCTCTGCCACTCAAGTGGAGGATCAGGATGGAATTCCTGGCTCTTGGTCTTGGCCAGTCTCATTCTGGCTCTTCAGGGTTTTTAGAAAATGAAGCACTACATGGAAGACTCTTCCACTTCCCTTCCTCTCTCTCTCTCTCTCTCTCTCTCTCAAGTAAAATGAATAAATGTATTTTTTAAAAAAACATAAAATTAATACTAATGGACCAGTTCCATGGCATAACAAACTAAGCTTCTGCTTGTGGTGTCAGCATCCCATATGGGCATCAGTTCAAGTCCCGGATGTTCCACTTTTGATGCAGTTCCCAGATAATGGCCTGGAAAAGCAGCAGCAGATGGTCCAAGTCTTTGGGCCTCTGCAACCATTGGAAGACACAGTAGAAATTCCAGGATCCCGGCTTTGGATGGGCTCAGCTCCAGCCATTACAGCCATTTGGAAAGTGAACTAGCAGATGGAAGTACACGCTTTCTCTCGCTCTCTTTCTCTAATGCTGATTTTCAAATAAAAATAAATGCAAGCTGAAAGACAGCCTTCACCACATGAATTGGATTGGCACCCTGATCTTCTGGAGCTACAATGATTCCAGAACTGTGAGAAAGTGAACTTCAGCTTTTGGAGACACCACGCCCATGATCCTATGCTATGGCAAGCAAGCGCAGAGACCCTCTATAGATTTGGTTCACATTTAATTAATCAACATAATTTCTAATGTGACTAGAGAACCATTGATTGGTTGGTCTGAACCTTTCAGATTTCTCACGCACAAAACAGCCACACTATTCCTATCAGAAATAATAGATTTACATAACGCTAGAGAGCCGCTCTTCATCTCATGGGAGGTTTCTAACTCTGTCAAGCACGAATGCTGGATGATTTCTCTCCCCATACCTATGTGCCCATGAGCAGCATGCTTTTGCTTGGCAGCAGGAGATAATGCCAAGAGTGCATAAACAATGTTGGGTAGAAAGTCACTGTTCTTAGTTTTCAAGAAAGCTTTAATGGATTCATGCATTCACTCCTGGAAGCAGTAAAGTTCACAACACAGGTAGTTTATTCTTCAGTTCCATACTAATCTAATGGAAACATATAACTTCTTATGTGAGAGTAATCAGCAGTTTTAGCAAAATAATTTCACTTGGGCCTGGCATTAGCCTAGTAGCTTAAATCTTCGCCTTGCACGCACAAGGATCCCATGTGGGTGCTGGTTCTAATCCAAGCAGCCCCGCCCGCTTCCCATCCAGCTTCCTGTTTGTGGCCTGGGAAACCAGTCTGGGATGACCCAAAGCCTTGGGATCCTGCACCAGCGTGGGAGACCTGGAAAAAGCTCCTGGATCCTGGCTTCAGATTGGCATAGCTATGGCTGTTGTAGTCACTTGGGGAGTGAATCAACGGATGGAAGATCTTCCTCTCTGTATATCTGACTTTCCAATAAAAATAAATAAATTTTTCAAAGTTTCACTCAATTTGCTTTTTCTCTCAATAACAATTTCATGTTCTTATCCACTAAGATTTAAATTATGCACTACGACTAACAGAATGAGACACGGGTCCTAAAAACCACAAATTCCATGAATAATAAATATTTGCTCATTATAAGGACTACTAAAATAACAAAAATATTTCTGTTCCTGCTTCAAATTTGAATTCAAAATAATTTCTATTTCACTATTGCACATTTCGAGGTCAACATCTTGCAAAGAAAATCCTATCATTAAAATTATAACTTACATGAATTTCATCAATTCAAGCAAAATTGATAATAGCAAATAATGGTAATTTTTTTTAAAAAGCAGGCTGTGGGAATTATGACTTCATTGCATTTTGTGGATTTATTTGTTCCAAAGCAAGAAGAAAAGAAAAAAAAAATAAGAAACTCACTAAGCTTCAGACCTCACCAGTAAGTATTGTTTTGCTAAGACCCTGAATAATGCTTTCATTGACTATTAAGATGTTATACTTCAGTCTTAATTTTTGCAAAATAGTTTGTTATTCCATTAGGATTTTAGAAGCCTGGATGAATTACAATCTTTTAGACAAGAATATTGGGTTCTATGGCAAAATAAAATAGATAAGAATTAGCCACTTTTGTTGTTGTTTCTGCCGAATGCTCTGATTTTCAAACTGAATAAAACTCTAGTAGACCTTGGTCAAGTCGGCCCGCTGGACGGTCTTCCTCTGTGTCTAACATCGGTTCCTGCGGCAGGTTTGGAGGAAACCCATCTTTCAGAGGGTAATCTAGACATTGGTCTCTTGTTCACTAAACATGAGAGACTTGGCTGGCTAACAACTGGTTAAGACAAGGTAACTCAGAATAAAGTCAAGCAAGTAAGCATTTCAAGGCACCTACTTCAAACTGAAGAACCTCTAGGGGCAGACACAAAGGTTAGGCAGCTAAGGGTTAAAACAAATCATCTTTCAATATTTACTGAAGGGGAAAGAATGGCAAGGTTTTCCAGTGACTATTTGCTAAGTATCCTACTTCATCAACTTTTCCCCCTGGTAAATTTCCCCCTAAGCTCACACTCTCTTTAAAGAGGTCCTCTTTGATGTTTAGTGAGCTCTAACAGCTTTGTCATAAAGCAAAGGTCATTGATGATTCGTCTCCTGACAAACAGTTCTCTTGACTGCTTAGTTTTTAGAGAATTTCCTTTTGGCCTTCTCTGCTTAATCATCAACACTCCAAACGCTCAGCCCGTGCGACAACCGCCGCCGGCTCGTGCCTGCCTGCACTGTGCAGTCCCAACAGGGCTTCAGACCAAGTCATTGCATTGCAATAATACTCTACTTTTTTCTTGCTCCCTTCTTTCTCTGTCTCCATCATTTTCTTCTCTTTTCCTCTTCCCTCTCTCTGCTTGCTATGTCACCACCACCACTTTTGCATTCCTGTGGAAAACTTTCTTCATCATGACACAAGTTGTTGTCACTGGGTCACGAGGTAGAACACAAGGACGCCTTAGCTGGAAGTGCCAAGTGGCTTAGGCACTTTGCTCAAACATGTTCATTTGATTTTCCACCATCATTATCCGGTCACCTTGACTATCAGGTAGAGCTACATCTGAGTCTTGAGAATTAAGTTCAAGCAGCAAAGGCCGTTTTCTGCTCTTGAACTTAAATGAGCTTGTTGCAAGTCACAATAGCCCTGGATCTCTTTCTGCTTGCCCAAGGAATGCCAACGCTTTCGAGATCCGAGTAAGGCGCCTCCCAAAGGCAGTTATCTGAAAACTCCTAAGCATTTCAGAGAGCTGTGAGGGCAGGTGGCCAGCGCCTGTGACATGACTGGCTATCCAAGCCTCCTAGCAGCGGAATTCCCTAACCCTAGCTTGCTGAAATCAAATCTAACCTGAAGATGCCAAGAGGTCAGGAAAAGACCAACGTCGCATTCCATTGTTGTCTAGGCTGAGACCTGCCCCAGGGCCACCAGGGTGCGAGCTCTGGGCCAGTACTGGCAAACTCTGGGCCCAGGTCTGCACGCCGAGTCACGACTTTGTTGTTCCAGCCGACCTGACCTGGCCAGTCAGTATCAGGGCGACCTCTGGGTCCACCGGAGGCGGGTTCAGGCGCGACTCTCCTTTGGGGCTTCTGCGAGGCCGCGGTCCTGCTCACAGGGGCCTTCTAACATCTTTCTGCCCCTTCCAGGTCAACGCCTCCCACCCTTTCTCTCCTTGAAACGTGAAATGCTGTGGCCTAGGACATTGCTACCGCGCCCCTTGCACATCTGCCTCCAAGGTCCGGCCAGCATCGCACCGCGCCAGCTTTGCATGGGCCCCCTGCAGGACGCGCACAAGTGAGGCTGGACTGCAAATCCAAACTTGTTCCCCTGCGTCTGTCCTGCAGCGGTGGGACAAGGTGAGGACCCGGAGCCGGCCCGAGGGGCTTCCTCCAGGACAGAGAAACACCTGGGCTCGTGGAGCCTGCACCCGCTCTGCGCATCGCTAGCGGATACTCGGCTGAGCACTGATCCGGCAGTAGCTGGCGCAGCGAGGGAGGGGCCCGAGACACACCCCCGGGGGCCGGGGGCCTGGAGCCCAGCGCGGCAGCGGCGGAGGAGAGGCGGGACCCCTGCGGGCCGCTCCCCCCACGCCAGCCTCACTGGAGGCAAGGGGCCCCGCGGCAGCGGGCAGGACCACTGTGCTGGAAGTGAGTTTGTCTGGCAGCTTCTACTGAGCAGCTAATAGTTTAACAACCCGGCTTTGATAAATCTGAACTAATTACCCCTCTTAATTAAAGTCTTTAGCAGTTGTTTCACTGTTTTGGCAAGAAAACAGGAGAGACTTGCAGTTAGAAAACACCAGAGCCGGAGCTCACAGAGGAACTGCTGATTAGCACTCTTGAAGCATTTCAAGGACCTGGCACCCGCCACAGTTTGGTTTTCATCCATGTTTCCTCCTTGAATGGGAGTATATCCGTCTATAAACATATGTACACGCACCAAAACACGGAGGCTCCCTTTGCCAGCTGTGTGCAAGTCAGAATGCGCCTCGGAGGCTGCGAACAATGGACACCTGTTTCCCGGTGACGTTACAGTGGCTCGTGGAGAGGATTACAGCAGCCCCTGGACCAGCTGCTCGAGTTGTAGCATTGTACTCTGCACTACCAGCCTAGCACAGGGCCCACCACCAGGTCACACTTCCGTTGCAAAATTCTCCAACTCCTATCTCTGAACTTCACCAGATTTCAGAAGTTTATCCAAATATTTGGGAAGACTATTTGCACTTGGTGAATTTTCAGACCAAAGCATCAGAGGGTACCAATCCCTAGTTGAGCTGATTTTAAAAAGACCAATGAAGAGGAGGGGAGTGTCAAAAGCAGGGTTCTCCTGTGGAATAACACAACAGAGCCCTAAAGTTGCTGATTAAATAAGCATGTTCCGAGTATTTATTTTCAAGTCAATGAATCCGTTTTCACGTGCAAGAACCAAAACTGAAATTCAAATTCATCCATAAAGAGCCATATGTGTATGTGTGTGCTGAAGAATGCGGAATGTGCCTTTTTGGGGCGCACGCATTTAGGGGTGTATGTGTGTATAAAACATACACACTTTTTTAACTTCAGGAAAGGGGAAAATGATAATAAACGATCAGCAGGCATCTTGAGACGGCATAATCAACACAATTGGAAATATATACAATAAAATTAAAATGGTGCAGCATTCCGAGTAAAATAATACAGATCTCAATAAATACAGCAGAAATTTGTTTAAAACCAAAGCAAACAGCATCTCTCCACCCGAGATGAAGTTTTCCAAATTAAAAAAAAAAGAAAAAATCAGAAAGCCAACAATACTCTCCAAATTTCTCATAGTTGTTAGTGCCTACATTGGATATAATACACAAAACCATTTAGCAGGTGCATGCAAGAGGCGAAAGACTGGGGAGTGCAGAGGCTTCTGTTCGGCCAAAAGTGTGGAGTCCGACCTGCTCTGGGTTCTGCAGGCCAGTTGGACCAGGAGGTCCAGCTGCGGCCTGCCGCTGCCTCAGCTGTGGGGGCTGCATCTCCGGCGGGGAGAAATCTTGGCCTGGCTCACTGGTGGCCCTGGTGGAGCCCGGGCTGAAGCGGACCAGGGGGCGGCAGCGGCGGTGGCAGAGGCTGCAGCGTCCCGGGTGGCGGCTGCTGGAGCTGAGGCGGCGGGTCTGTGCCCGGTTCCCCAGCGGGCGTGCGGGGCAGCCCCAGGCTGCTGTCATGCAGCTTACGGACGTGCTTCTTGAGGTCAAAGTTCCTGCAGAAGCCCTTGCCGCACGTGGGGCAGGTGAAAGGCTTCTTGTCGTTGTGAGTGTGCATGTGGAAGGTGAGGTTGTAAACCTGGTGGAAAGCCTTGTTGCAGATATTGCACTTGAACTGTTTCTCCCCGCTGTGGGTCAACTTGTGGTTTTTGTAATTCCCTGAAAGAGACAAATCACAGGGATGTGGTTCTGACAGAATTTGGAAAGGGAGGAGCCCACATTCGGAAGGTAGCGAGCCCCGCGGAGGAGAGAAGGCAGTTCCCACCCCGCCGCAGGAGTACCAACCGCACCTGCAGTAGTCTCCCGCCACTTTCATCACTCGCATCAGCAGCAAGGCCATTTCCTCAATATTTTAATACACCTGTGTTAATCCCATTATATAAAACGAGAATCGCCCGTTAAAAAGAAATATGCACTTGCTACATACGCCATGCCTTACACTCATCAAACTTGTGGGTTAGAGGGTTAGCATGGCTGGCGCCGCATGCATCTTTGTAATTAGCAACATTTCAAAGATCGTTAAAAGAAAGAAAGAAAGAAAGAAAGAAAGAAAGAAAAGAAAGAAAGAAAGAGAGAGAGAGAGAGAGAGAGAAAGAGAGAAAGAAAGAAAGAAACTTTTTCCAAAGGCTAGTCGTGGCTTTCTGCAAGATTACTATAAAGACCAACTCTTCCGGGAGCAATACCTTTTTGATGAAATCCTTTGCCACAGAATTCACACACAAAGGGCTTGTAACCTGCGTGAATTCGGGTGTGTGTGTTTAAAGTGGAACTCCTATTAAATGCTTTGCCGCACTGGTTACATTTGTGAGGTTTTTCCTAAGAGGGAAAGAAGAAAAGCAAAGAATTTCAGGGATTTTTTTTCTCCCACGTGGAGACCTGCAAGCAAAAAAATTAGTGCTCTAATGCTTTCAAGCAGAACAAAGGCAAACGAGGCAAGCCACTTTGCCCGGTCAGCCAGCCAGCGCTTTTAAACCCAGCTGTTGATTTAAAAAAAAAAAAGAAAGAAAAGAAAAGAAAGAAAGAAAAGCGTTTCCTGCCACTTTCCTGCGGAAAATCAGGTGGGAAGGAAACGGATGAACACACCTGCGTGTGGATGATCTTGTGTCTGCACAGGGTGCTGGCTTGCCGGAAACCCTTCCCACACACTTTGCAAACGAAGGGTCTGGCTCCTGTGTGCACCGGCATGTGACGGGTTAAGTTATAGTGTGCATTGAAGACCTTAAATTAAACACACGGAGAACAGGTTAGCCAAGTAAGTCCTTTAAAAGTAAAGGGCGGATGAAACAATCTTACCACAAAAATAGACCCAAACCCCACCAAAGTAAAAGAAAAGATAAAAGAAGGAAAGCGAGGAAGGACGAGGCAGGAAAGTTAAAACCTGTGTTCTGCTTAGTACTTGCCTTTCCACACACTTCGCAAGTGAAAACTTTGGGCTTGGCGTTGGGAGAGCCCCGGCTGAAGTCCGAGCTTTTGAAAGCGATTTTTTCCGACAGAAGCTGGGCACTTTCTTTCATGTAATGCTGCAGCTGAGCCTGAGACAGATCTTTGAAAGCAACTCCCGAAGGGTACTTCTCCGCTGCGGGCACCACCAGTTTATTCCTTTCGGCTAAATACGTTTTTGGCTGCGAGTGCAAAGGGGAGCTGAGAAAGTAGGAGGCCACCGGGTGGATGTTCACGCCGGCCGCCGGGTGGCACGGGCCGTCCCCTCGGTTCAGGTAGCATAGGGCACCCATGGCGTGGAAGGAAGAGTGGTTGACCACACGTGGCCTCACCAGCTTGTACTGCTGCAAGGGCAGCGCGTCGCGGGCCAGGTCGCCCTTGAGACTCAGCGCGCAGTTGAGCAGGTCGCTGCAGCTGAACGCGGGTGCCGCGGGTGCCACAGCCGGCGCAGCCGGGGCTTCCAGACTCGTCTTCCGCGGCTCGGAGCCCGACACCGCTGCCTTGGAGCTGGGGTCGTAGGCCACCGGCACGAAGGGGATCATGCAGGGGATCGACGAGTTGAGATGCAGAGAGTGCTTGGGCTCCCCCTTGGGCACGGCTCCCTGCAGGAAATGGGGCAAGGGCAGGGCCTTGGGCTCGGGGGTGCGCGCCATGATTCGTTCGATGGAGAAAGCCAAGGGTTTCGACGTGGCCATCACGTTGCCCCGGGCTGGAGCCGTCGCTAACATTTTGGTGGTCGGGTTGTGGCAGCTACTGTCCATGTCTGATTCGCCAGCGTTGGTCCGCCGGAGCCGGGCTGCGCCGTCGTTGCCTCGTTTCCTGCTCGTCACAGACCTGCGGAGAGGAGGACGGTCACCATCACCGCCAGCAGCCTCCGCCTCCGCCTCCCCAGCATCACCAGCCGAACCTGCCTGCCCAGCCCAATGGACTCCTGCCAGCCCATCGCAGAGTTCTTGGCGCACCAATGACTCGGGGACAATCACTACTTATTTCTATCAATAGAAAGTGTTGTGTCAATAACGCAGCCAAGATCTCGCCAATCGTTAACTTCCAAGAGGAGAAGGTAAACTAGATAATTGCTCAATTCGCTTCCAACAGTCAACAGGAAAACTTTTTTTTTTCCTCTGCAGTCAGTGACTACTTCTCATTGGTGAGCGAGTGAGGATCCCCCGCCCAGAGGAGGCGGGGGCGCCGGGCACCGCGCGTTCCGCCCTCCCCTCGGCGCACACTCAGCGGCTCACACTTCGCTCCCCTCCAGCTGCCCCATCAACCCCCACCCACACCCCTTGCTTCCTCAGTCTTTTTAATTCTCAATCTGCTTAACTAGGCTTTAGGGGCCAAGCAGATCTGAGATCAATTTTCTCGTTTAGTTCTAAGTGACATCATCTAAAAATCATTGTGCAAAGGCTAAATAAGGAAACGGAGTCTAACTCAGGGGCAAATGCTAGGCTATATTTATCAAACGCCAGACTCCAGAAAACCTCGACCAGGAACCCTCCAATAGCGAAATTCCAACTTTCCTGGCTTGGTTCCCCCGGGCCGGGGCTGAGACGGACTGGGGGTCAGTGCGCCGCCTCCGCAGCCCTCCCGCTCCCTCGAGGGGCGGGCGATCGGGGGAGGGGCGCGCCGTGCACCCCCTTCACTCTGGAAGCTCCACGGCCCGAACCGAGTAGGACCAGGTGGAAGACTCCAGCAGGTAACTGGCCTCCCCCGCCCCCCCAACGCCCCAGAGAATTAAAGGCCTTGGGGGAGGCTTGCTATGTGTTTGTGGTTTTGTAAAAGCGATGGCCGTGGCAAGCAGACCTGGGAAAGGCGCCCTCCATCCACAAAGTTGAGGAATTGCTAGGAAGAAACGGGCATCACCCCGCCAGAAACCTGGAATCGGACGGAACCTGGATAACACGAACACACACAAGTGCGCGCTTCTCTGAGTTTTCCATTAAGAGCGCGGAAAGAGCATTTCTTCCTTTAAGTACCTGCGCTCAGCTGCAGCTCTTGTGGCAATTTAAACGCTGAATGTTGAGCGGAGAAGGGAAACGGCGCGCCCTCGCTCCCGCCGCTGCCCCGGGCTTTGCCTGCCTCCCTGTAGCAGCGCCCGCAGGAGCCCGAGGTGCATGAGCCCCGACGCCTGCCGGCGCCGAGTCGTGGCCACTGCTCTACCTTCACCTCCCAGAAAGCAGGTGGAACCCGGGACCCTGCAGCGCCCCCACACCAAACAGACCGGGCAAACGCCTGGGACCGAGCAGAGCAGAGTCCTGGAAGACGACTGTGGCTGCGAGTTCTCCAGGTTCAGGCCACCGTGGCGCGCGGGCAGCAGCGCCGAGCGCCTTGCTGGGGAAAGCATGTTGCAAAGCTGCGATCCCGCAGGGCTAGGTGCCCGCGGGCGGCTGCAGGGAGCTGGAGACGCAGCGGGTTCTGAGCGCGCAAGGCTGAGGCGCAGGCCAAGGTGTCGTTTGCCTGGTGAGTTAACCCCGACTGGTGGCTGTGCAAAGGGATACAACGGATGCCAAATATCATCCCAGCTCAAAAGCCCAGGAAAGGGCCGACAATGGGAGACAGAATGAAGGCGGACTGGAAATTCTGCGCTGTGTAGAACCCCCTGACCAGTTTCATCCAAAGCTGTCAGGTTGGAGCTCAAAGAGAGGAAACCGACTTCAAAGTAGTTCGTTCCTCTCCATCCCATTCGGGGCACAGGACAGACCAGCGGCCCAGCGCCCTCGGAACCTCTCTGGCTTTCTGTGCCGGTTAGTCCCGGCCCGATCCTAAGAGCCAAATGTAAGGAAACAGGTTTGGGCCAGGCAGGGCTGCGAGGTGGTCGGATGGGGGCATTCACTCACTAGAGAAAGGGAGGGAGGGTCGAGTCCTGTAGGGAGTTGAACGCTGCCAGGGGTCCAGAAGCGGGTGACCTTAGCTGCGAGGCCTACAGGGCTTGGCTTCGGCTCTCCAGGTGGTTTGGGACTGGGAGAACTGACCGGGGTGGTTCCGAAGCGGGTCAGAGGGTGGGCGAGCCACGGAGAGGTGCCACACCTTCCGGGTGGCACTTCCGAGCAGTCCCTGGGCCACGCGAGGCCACTCAGTGTTCGCCCACTCAGGAAAATCTCTTTCCTTTTGCAGTCGAGTCCTCCGAACTGTCTCCTTTCTCCCTGCTCAGACAAAGGGGAACCAGGTTTTGCCCCCACGACAGATGGGTTAAGACTTTAATTGGTGCCTTTGGGGCAGATCAGGTTCCAGGTCCTACCTGCGGGCTTCCCAAGTGCGGAAAGCCCCCCTGTCTGCATGACTCTTCGGCCCCAGGACTAACCTGAAAGCCTCGGAGCTCTAGAACACTTTGAGCGCCCAATGGTCTGGTCAACTCACCCGCCTCCAAAGCACTACCCTCCCTCCCGTTGGAGGGCCATCAGTTTGTTTTATATTTGTCGTGCGCGTCCATCCCCTCTCCCTCCTCCTCACTTCTCCTTACCGGCAAAAAGAGCTTTTATTTACAGATCCCCTTTGGTGGACACTCAACTAAGAAAGGAAAATATTGGTTAAGGGGTTGTTTGTGTTTTGTATAGCTAATATTTCAGCAATTCGCTTGTCACGGTCTTTTTGGAATTTGCCTTTTTGGCTAGAGTTTGCGAATGTCATTTGAATAATGCAAATATGGCAAGGCATCAATTATGGGCATTCCTTCAAGATGGCTCTGAGCTTTTTAGTACTAAAGATCTGAAGAGGCTGTTTGCAAATGCAGGTCCTGGTGCTGACTCTTGCTAATATTTCTCATTCAAAGCAAAACCAAAAACAATGTTTAGTAATAGCTCTGGTAAATACGAATGGTCTTAACGCACAACATTATTGAGGAGCTTCATTTTGTTATATGTAGTATTTTATTTCTAAACATATTTGAAAAGCAAGAAAAACACAATAAAAGCAGAACATATTTGGTAAATTTATAAACTTCTACAATGATTCAATGCTTTAAAATTATTTAACTTACCAAAAGAAGGCAAAAGTCCCATGTTTGTTTTAAGAATGACAAAACAGAATCTGCAGTTCCTTCAGATGGTCTTGAATCCCCGTTCATCACCTCGCACACCTTGATTTTTGTTCAGGCTGGCAATTAAGTGCTCCTCTCTCACTAACCTCAGAAAGGTGTGTTTGCCCTAAACCATCCACCTTAAACCTTGGTGGAGGGCAAGCTGCAAGTGTTGGTTTGTCCACCTGAGATGTCCAGAGGATACAAGAAAGTCCCTGATGCAGCGGGGTCACATAAGCTCTTGGACCAAGATCTTCTGAAAAGAAGGAAAAGCTTCTCTAACCTCATTCAAAATGCTTCACTTGTGAATTCACTGCTCCCGACTGTACTCTTGATGATATTCAAGAACTTTCATAGGCTGTTTAAGTCCCTGTCACAAGCAAATCCAGTTTCTAGTCAAGATTACTTTGATCTGAAATAAAAGGTAATGGAATCATCAATTCTTAATCTTCCTTTTCTCTTAAGTTACAAAGCACTGTTGAATTTTCAAAAATAAAAATAAATGGATTGGAAACTATATATCCAGCATTCTGCCACGAACATTGAGTTTTTTCAGGTAAGATTCTAAGGGTTTTTGTCCTGATCTCCGCCTTGCTTCTTCAGCACCAACAGTCTGCCTTCTTTTTGCTTTTTCTCAGTTGCCGTGAACTGGAGAGGGAGAGGAGAAAGGATGTGCTACTGAAGACACCGCACATTCAGGTGCAGCTCCACGCTACCTCACCACAGGGGACAACGCCGAAGCCCACACATACTAGAGGAATGGACAGGCAGGCTGCCATTCCTCCACAGGTCTGCTCGGTGTCCTAATGTATAGTCTTTGGTGCTTTCTCTTGGTGTTGGAACAAGACACACACAGGTCTTTGCGAAGGAGAGTCCGGCGGGACGTGGGAGAGGGGTTCAGGAGCTAACTTGCCAGCACAGGAACAGGCTGCTGGCTACTACTGGGTAGCTTCGGCTGAGGTGGTCTCACGTGAGGAATTCTGGCTCATTTTCTCCAGCTTGCTAAGGACGTGTCACAGGTCAGCGGAGTGAGAGGGGTGGGGTAACTAGGAGCCCTCCTCTCCACTGGGGGGCGAGGGAGGGGGGACCTCTTGTTTATCTCCAGACTTTTGTTACCTTTTTTCTTTCCTATTAGGATTGCATTTAAGCCCAGTGAAATTATCCCTCTCCAAACAGCATTTGCATATTAAATCCGTCTGTAAAAGGAAACGTGGAGCCCCGACGAGAGCTTAACTAGGGGCCACGCTTTGCGGATGCCACCCCTCGGGCCTGCCTGGTGCCAGCCCCTTCCATTAATGCTGGGATTTTTCTCCTCTGCTCCTGCAGGCTGGTGAGGTACGCTATCCCCCTCACCCCCCACTATGAGGCCACAGGACCCCGAGTGGATGGAAAAAAGAAGTTTAGAAGCAAAGCAGGTCGTTTTCTCGAGGGACACAACCCAGCTGAGTTTTTCCGTGTCTGCACGAGAGCGCTCTGGAAACCCAGGAGGAGAACCTGGAAGCTCCGTGCCTGTCTCCAGCAGTATCCTTGTCTAGAACCAGAGCACCACTTGGTTAGTGCAACTGGCTGATTGGCATTTCGCAGCATTTCCCAGGACAATTCTTAAGTCATCATTTTATGGTCAAAATAAAAACGATCCTCATCAACCCACGGCGCGACTCTTTCCTTGTTAACTACCCACGGGGTTCAAAAGCAGTTTCGATGTCATTGCCAAACTTTTTTTCCTTCAATGATTTCGCAGAAATAAAAGTCCATCTTAGAAATTCCAACCACACAGAGCCAGGAAGTAGCTTAGAGAGATGAAGAAGAATTTCAGAGGTAAGGCAAACATCCTTGAACCAGAGAACTCCAGGAGCTGTTTTATCCAATCGGTTACCTCCTGAACTCGGGCCTGCAGCCGCCTGGGGTGCAGAGCGCCGCTCCTCCTGGCGGCCCTTGGCTGCCTCCGCCTCCATCCTCCGCGCACCGGCCCCCGGCTGCCCCCGGGACCTGCGTTCCCGCTGCTGGCGTGGGAGCAGACGCGCCCTGCTGCACCCGCAGTTTGGTTGCCATAGC